TTTGTTTTTATCAAGTTCTTGTCCTTGACAATATGTTGATACGAGGCCTCTTTGTTGATGAAGTTTTCAACCTATCAATCACCTATAGACATGTATAAAGGTAAAGCAGCATCTCTAAAGCTTCTAAGAAGCTTTCTACAAGATATTATCATATTTATCTACTTTGACTTACTTCTACCTATTCTTATTATCTAGATAACTATTAAGATAAATATGTATGTCCATGACACCATATCCATCTATTTAAAAAATATGTATTTAATTTTCTAAGCTTAGAAGGTATTAAATGCCTTCAACTTCAACAATGTATCAAAGACATAAAACAAAAATAATTAGATCATTAATAATTTCTTATGCCATTTAAATATATTAAATATTTATTAAAAAATAATATAATATTAAAACTAGAATGGCTATTGTCAAAGACAAGAAGACTAAAGACTCTTGAAATAAGCCTAAGATCAAAAAAGGTATCGATAAGAGTGAAGAAGGCTTTACTCTTATCTCTATATATACTATCTAATGAGCATTTATATAGTTATATTCTATAAGACGTCTAACATGTGTCCAAATTAAAGGACACATATATAACTTACAAGGCAAGTTTCTCAATGTACACCACATGACCAATCAATACTACAAGTGGCTAATATGTATGATACATGGCCAATTTATTGGCTATGTTTTCAACCTACTAATCACCTATAGATATGTATAAAGTTTAATTTGTATCTATAAAGCTTTTAAGAAGCTTTTCTATAATTTATTATTAAATTTACTTACTTCTATTTATTTCTATCTAACTCGTATATATCTACGTTAATATGTATGTTTATGATATAATAAAACTTCAATGAAAAATGAAATAATAAAATAAAATAATAATTTATTTTTAAATTCTTTAGATAATACAAATAATCACATAAATAACCAATTTAACATTAGCTATTTATATGATTTATTGACAATAGAAGTAATCACATTGATTATTGTATTTTGTAACAAGTTTTTATAACAATCTTAAAAAGTTTCTACATATGCTTTTAGGATGTGAATAATGGTGATGAATATTATATGTGTTCTTTAAATCTAAAACTACAATTATATGAAAACAACAAATAGTTGTTCTAAATGTAACATAGATTTTATATTCAAATTTTATAATATTTCATACAAAAATTAATTAACTTTTGTATAAAACTATCATAATCACTATAAAGAAAAATTGTCAAAATATTTTACAAAAATATGGCAGGAAAGTCTATATCTTTAGGCTATTTTGTTGAGATTGGTTTATTCAAACTTTCATCATCTACAATGCAAAGAAACATAGAAAACTCTAAAATCAAGACATGTATTAAATATCCATGTACAAGCCACATATAGACCAATTACTTTATAAATACAAGCAATGAAATTATAAAACAAAGTTGTATTCTACCACCCTTGGTACTAATCAAAGCTATTTCAAATGCCCTTAAATTCATGTATTTAAATTCATGTGTTGGTCCTCATAGATCCAATCTATATAACTTTTTCTTTATAGAAATCAACAAATGCTTGCATTTTTATTTTTATATTTTTTGCTAATCCATCCAATATAAGATGTACATGCTTTTGATGCTTTCAAAAGATTGTTGTATCATTTGAAAACTATTCAAAAAATTACAGAAAAAACTACCAATGAAGCTAATGAAAATATAAACAAGAATAATAGTAATAATAATAATAATAATAATAATAATAAATAAATAAACAAACAAACAAACAAACAATCACATATATTAAATGTTTGTGTAGATGACCAAACTTAGATAGTGTGGCAATCATCCAATTTGTGTGTGCTATGTTGGACTTCTACAAAGGTGGTAAGATCTTTACAAAAAAAATAAAATAACGTCGTTAACAACGCCGCACCAATCCTGAACACCCTACTAGAGGTCAGTGCAGGATGTCGACCCTCTGTGCATGGCCACCTTTCTCACTGCAGCTCGGTACCGCTGCGCAACAAAACGGGTAGTCTTCCGCACGCCCTCACGACATGCTCTTTTGACGAGAGGCATGTGCAGATTAAAGCTCTGCGCTGTGACACAGGAGCAGGTACACAGCTTAATCCTCATGTCCAGGGAACTATTTGGTACCTGAAGTCGGGAAGCAGCGAGGGTTTGTAAGTTTATCTTTACAATAGACTTTTGGCTTTTCTGTCCAATTTGAGAACATTAACTACTTTTTTGTAAGAGGAGTTGCTGAAATTTTAAATTCTATTTTTGTATTAGACGAAATGTGGCAAGGTGAATTAGCATAGCAAATACTGTCTTTGCTTCTTTAGGATATTTCTGTATCGTACTATTGGCAAGTTTTTTTTAAAGTACATATGTAAAATTACATAAATGATTAAGTGTTTTGTAAGAAAGATCATTCAATTCCTTGTCCAAGCCAAAGTATAATTTGATAAGCTATTTTCCAATTGAGTTGTTATTTGATACAATGGATTAAATCATGATCCTATAAGAGCTAGGTCAAGTGATAGTTGGTTTTCGCAGGTTGGAGAAAAAAGGTATAAGTGATTAGGGTTTTGCTCTGCTGGCTGCCCGTGTGGAGTCATCAACATCATGCATAATGCCTCTGCTGCCTCGGCACACCACACAGTCACGCGTTAACGTCGACGGTAAGCTCTTGCGCAGCGGCAAACGTTCAGTCCCCGTTGCGGGGGGTATGCAACGGTCTCCCTGCACTATGTGGGGCAACCGTGGTCCGAATGGTCGCAACTAGTCGAATTTGGTTGGGTGCGGGTTATGAGTGTGGGGTTCAGAGTCGAGTTGTGCGGCCAAGTATGGTTACATCTGTTGCAACAAGTCGCATCCACACCTCATGACAATGAAGCAAGACACGTTAGAGTTTATGGATGAATGGTTCTTTTAAGTAATGGATAAATTACAACCTCATGACAACTTGCATTTTACAAAATGATAGGCGAGTGAATAGGATCAAGTTGCTGCTTTTTCTCTTAAGTTATCCTTGAACACTAGAATTACTCTAAGCCAGTGTTAGGCCACAATAGATAAGGATTCTAAATTTTTATAAACGTTTTTTGTACTATGATCACTTCAGTATATACGATACTTGTGTCCTTTGTTTTAGAATTGGTTTTTATCAATCTCTACGAGCGCTAGTTGTGGGCGGTGCTGGGATCTTGTTTGACAAGGAGAACCTCCTCAGCATGCACTAAACCTGCATTTCTTTGACGTTACAATGTAAACTGAGGCTTCCCGGTGGGTGCTACAGCGTTTCGAGTGAAGATGGTTTATGATATTTTTGGGTCTGATTGCAGTTTAGTGTGATGGCGAAGCCCCGGATGGAGATGATACCCAAAGCTTCTGATTTCTGTGATGCTCAAGCTATCTCAGTCTTTCGACTGAGGCTTGGCGTGTGGGGGGTGGGTAGGAGGGAGGGAGGCTGCATGAAGCAGAGTTCAATGATTGCGCCCATGAGCTGATCTCTCGTCAGTTGCAGGTAGAGCGTAAGCATGATTTTCAGGTGGCGAGGCACTGCCTGTTCGATGGCGATAGGATCAATCCATGGTTCTAGATTGTCCAATTTCAGGGTCGGTGCTCTTGTTGGACTTTGGTGTTTGGGGTCGGAAAATGCGCGCGTGCGGTTGCAAGCCTGCTCCATATGATGTGGTGGGCACACCGTTGTTGAGATGTAGAATATTACGCATGTCAGAATTGACGTTCACTTGACTTCGTTAGGTTGAATGCATTACATAGCTGGAAGATGAAGATTCTCTAGTTAATACAATTATTGCAGTAATTTGAAATTGAAAAAATATAGAATTGAAAAAATTGCATATATAATGAAACAACAAAACAAAACCATCCATTATCGGAGTCAGGTGACGAAATGAAACATTCGTTGCAGAAAAGTTTTAGAAAAGAATAGATAAAGATGAGTAAGGTCATTTTTTATTTTTATTCTTATTTATTTTATTTTTGTATTTCAAATAACAGACGCCTTTTATCCAAAAATTTATTTACTTGCAAAAAAGAATTCACGGATGGAAAGAATCGAAATACAAATAATGAAGATTTTATAAAAGACCTTATATAATCATAAAACATGTCTTAGAAGACTTACATATTTTTGAATGGAATAGTTCCAATAACCAAAACAGAAAACTAATACTAGATATGATTGGTTGTACGACATTCAATTATTGCTTCAACCTTTTTTGTTCTTTTATTATGAGTTTAATTCAGGATTTCTAGTTTTGACAATATAGAAACATTTTTTTTCAGGAAAACAAACAAACAAACAAACAAACACGAATTTGTAAAAAAAGCAATCATACACAAAGGTTGTTAATATACATATTTTTACACTTGTGCATTTTTTTCAAAGGAAAACATCTTCATTGATCACAATTCAAAATATTTAGTAAGTTTCACAATCTTCACAAAACAGCTATTAACTCAATCATACATATGATTTAAAGTCATTCAGTATTGTACAAATATAATGAACGAGATTTTTTTGAAATTCTAATTCAAGCATGATGTTATGGCTGAGTGAAGATACAAACGTTTCCCACATAAAAATACTATTTTCCTCTTATTATTAAACCTCTTCCTTATGATAAAATTTTTCAGGGGTCTTTTTTGACGAGTTTTTTTTTTTTTTGAATCCAAGTTTCCCAGAATCAACAGAACAAGTCCCGACGAATTCTACAATATCTCGTTTCCTCGTTCATCCACTGGGATAAGTCCACATCCGTAATGAACATTCATCCATCCACTTGATAAGGTAAAGGCGATCCACCGTGATCGCATAAACTGTCACTATTTGCTGACGAGGCATGGAAATTTGGAGCTCTCATTGGCTCAGACTCCAAGCACAATATTGAGTCTTCTAAAGATCCGAGCTCTGGAGCAAGTGAAGTCGCCAGTGTGAACACAGATTGTGGTGTGTGTGTGTGTGTGAACACGATTTTTTTCCCTCCCTCCCTTCGAACGATGCTGCACCCCACGCGGCGAATTTGGCTCTTCCTCCTCCGACGACGACGGCGTCGCCGTTCTAGCGTGGTCGGCATGGACGTCATCCACACAGATTAGTCTCCATTACGCGCATTCTGCACTGGATTACGGCAAAACCCAACCAGGTTCGGTTTCATCTGGCGGAGTGGAATATACGCCAAAAAAAGCTTACCAACACCGATATGAAGATGTCGGTGGAATCTCACCTTTTACTGTGCCCGACGATGCCGCTCGCCGGTGTTGCCAGGAGCGCAAGGCATCGGTAACGCTCAATCATGATGCGAGTTGCGCTGAACTGCTGCTCAGCTGCGCGGATTGGCATCGTCTATTGATTGCACTTGTTCATTTTTTTTTCTCGTAGAGCGGGATTTATAGGTCTATGGTTTTAGGGGGTTTTTGGGATTTTTTGGTGGCGGGGAGTGTGTCTGCCCGTGGGGTAGGGTGGAGGATCCGTGCGCATTTTGATAATTTCTGTTCTGGTGAGTATGAATGAGTTGGAGGTTTTTTGTTCAGGGAAGAAGGGATTGGATTGAGGGTGTGATTCTAAGGTTGATTGGGTTGTGGGGTGGTTATTACAAAGCACAATTATCTTGAACGGCTTCGTACAAGTTTTGGTATTAGAGAATGTGTTTTTAAACTCGAGTATAAAGGAGCTAAGTCTGATTCAGTGTGTTCCTAGCATATAGTTTCGGTGAGAATCGTTGAACATGGACTTTTGCTCAAAGGCCATCTATGGTTGTCAATCATTGGTCTTGTACTATTGTAGAGAGCTATTCTAACTTTTAACAATTTGAGAGTATGGGCTACGAGCAAGACGAAAACATCCACTTGAGCGCAATTCTTTCCTCTGGGACTAGGTCATTCAATGACCTGTCTTTGGCTGTGACCCCCCAGAGAGCTCTGTTGGATGCTATTGAACCAGGTCTTCAACATCGAGTGAATTGCCTATTTGCTTCCTGAGCTAGTCCAATGTGGTCAACATGAATTTTCCAAGCTTGAAAGCCATTCGACTTATTTCATATCGTGCATGTGCAGGCGTTTGGCGCAACTGTCCTAAGAGAGTGTTGGACGACATCAACGAGCAGCTTCTCATCGTTTTTAAGCAGACCAAGGCACGGGAGTTTCAATAACACAACAAACCAAGGGATCAGGAGAAATACCTGTTCTGACAGCTTGGTTGTCCGCCGCGCAGTAGGCAGCGGCATTATTGAAGGTAAATTCCCATTGAGTTTTCTCCATCGTCTAAAGTGGACATTTAATGCAGAGCTAATAATTTTATTTTTTATTTTTTATTTTTTTATTTTTTTTCTCAATCAACTATTGATTGAATTCGAGGAATACTTGGTTATTAGGAGAGTAAATAATTAGGAATATATCTAATTTGACCACTGGACTGGCTAGAATTGAAATTTGTTACTATGCTTTACACTGTTGTCATGTAATCGTTTCATGGAAGTAGAATCTCATCACTAAGCTGCCATGTATCAGTCGAAATTATCAAATTCTAGTGTTTGACTGAGACATTGAAGGATGTAGAGGTTGGATTGTTATGGCTCCTCCCTGTTCAGAAGGACAATATCATATTTACTAAGATCAAAACCGCATGCTTTCTTGCAGCGTGCAGCTCAGGCTTCAAGGAAGTAGAGTACAGTTTGAATATGGGCTGGATTAATAAGTATATTCCTGGAGGCGTTAAGGACACTTCAACGCCGTTCATTATTGGTTCTGACAAATGGATGAGCAGCACAGCTCAACTAAAAGGAGAGGCAGCCTCCTCAACCGTGGACCAAGCCCCAGTACACGATCTTCCCAAGCCTGAATTACCCCGAACTCAGTCCTTGTCTCCTCCATCTCACTCGCCTTCTGAAATAACGAGGTCATCCTCCGTGAGCTGTGTCACGCAGAAAAGTGACGGGGGGTTGTATCCTGTAATACATCAGTCATCACACTCTCTGGAAAGCAGTCAGAGAATCCAAGCTGACAGTGAGAAGCCTCAGTCTTCCTCGCTATATCCCAAAATATACGAAGGGGTGCCAGACGAAGAGGTAGCAAACGAGGGAGGCTTTGGAAAAGATGTCGACTCTGCAAATGATCGTCCGCTTAATCCCCGAGAAGAATGCTTGTTTTCTACTCCAGTTGCAATTGTGTACCTTGTTGATGAGCAACAGAGCCCTCATTTGGCAACTGACTACTTCTCAATCGTCCGCATTACACAAAAGGGCAACGACAGTGTTGTGATTGTGCGTGTTGGAGAGGACTTGCATTGGCCTTTGATGAAAGATGTGCCAACCGTCAAACTCGACCCTACTCATTACTTCTTCACATTATCATTCCCCTCCTCGTTGGATGAGGCTATTGGGAGTGAGACACTTGAGGTTTTTGCTTCTAAAACTCCTGGAGTACAATTCCTTCATTCACTCAGTAAATATGGCTAGGTACTGAAATTCGTCTCTCTGAGTATGTTGTGTTTGAATCTATGGTTCTGAAGAGCGAATGGGTGTCCTGTGTTGTTTGTGCTTTGCAGGGTAATCGCTTAGTAACGCTGAATTACGGAGTGACATTTCCGGACCGTAAAGATCATGAGAAAGAGTTCAAGCAGTTAGACGAACTATTAATTTTGTACAGTTCCTTTTCATCTCCAACCCTTGTACATGGAGATCAACAAAAAGAAAAGTTTATTCAAAATACGCAACAGTTGTCTGTACAGGAGAAAGATAAAGAAATCGTTGCTCCTTCAGCAAACCAGGTAGAAAAGTATGGTGGTCAAGTGGTTCCCAAGGAAGTATTATCAAGTGACGGCAAGCAGGTAAGAAATGCAAATGTGTTGAAGGCATGAATTAGACCTACAAGAGTGTCAAAAAAATTGGAAGGAAGTGAAAGAGAAAAAAGAAAATTCAAGTAATCAACTTAATGGTTGTTCAGTTTGTCAATTTCAGAGTAGCACGAATGATTCAACTAACATCGGGGGCTATGATCAGGTCGTTGCTACGGAAGAGAACCAGGCTGCATTTTGGACGACCATGGCGCCGAATGTCGATGACTATGGGTCAAGTGCTGCGAGGGCCATTGCAACTGGTACAGGCCAAATTATTCGTGGAATCTTTTGGGTTCGGGACTCCACTGTAAAGCAGCTTGAGAGTGGCACCATTTACATGAAGACTAAGCTTAATACTAATGACAAGCCAAGCACTATCAGTCCAAAAGCCCTTAAAAACATGAAGCGGTACTCTCTTCATATTCAATCAAAGTGGCATTCTTTTTCCTCTTACTCCCTAAAATGAGAAGGATATAGGTTTGTGGTGTTGGTCTGTTCATGTTTACTACAACCGTTTGTCTTTACAATCCAGCCAGATGGCTGTTTGGTGATTATGGATTGCTTTGTTTCTCATTCAAGACATGTCTGTGTGCATCGGTGTATTCAGAGTTCGTAAACTGTCGCGGGCAACTGAGAATGTAGCGAAAGGTGTTCTGGGTGGCATTGTAAAGGCGGCAGGATTCTTAACAGGCTCAGCAATCCAGTCAAAAGCCGGGTCGAAGATTTTCAAGTTGATGCCTGGGGAGGTGGCTCTTGCATCGTTGGATGCGTTTGGTAAGTCTTGTAACCCCCTTTCGACAATTTTATCCAGCTGAATGTTTTAGATGACTTTCGGTGGCACTTCGACGTCCCCTCTTTGACAAGAGAACGGTTTCATGGCGAAATTCCGTTCACGTTTCCGCCTGCTTTCAGATTTGCAGTCTGCAGTTGCAATCACAACACAAGAACTTCACTAGGCACGATTCACAAGCAGAAAGCTACAATGCCTTTCTTTCTTTCTTTTTTCCTTTTCAAAACTACCAGAAAAAATCATTCCTATTTACTTGTTTTCCCTTATTCTGTACAGGCAAGTTGTTTGATGCTGTGGAGAAGGCCACTAAAGATGTCCTTCACTCTTCCTCAGAGATGACGCAAACTGTCGTCGCACACAAGTATAATCTCTCTCTCTCTCTCTCTCTCTCTCTCTCGCTTATAGATATATATATATATATATATATATATAAACATTTATACCCACTCTGATTGGAAATAACCGAACTTTCAGTGTTTCTGATACATACATACATATATGCTTTGTGTGTGTGTGTGTGTGTGTGATTTTTCATATAGAAAATTTAGGTAGTGAAATTAGATTAAAAAGTTGCAAGTAGGTTGGAGAAGACGTGGTGTGGTGGGGTATCAGAAGAGTTAGTGAGTTAGTGAGTTCAATAGGGGCTGATGATGTAGGATGGATGAACGGTGTGTGTGTTGCCACAGATATGGAGAGCCAGCTGGACAGGTGGCCCAGGACACGTTGGCAACGGCAGGACATGTCATCGGTACAGCGTGGACTATTTCAAAGCTGCGCAAGGCCCTGAATCCCAAGGATGGCTTGGTACCCTCCAAAACCTCCGTGGTGAAGGGGTTGGCCAAATCTGCCCTTAAAGGGAGGTAGAAGCAGTAGTAGTCGATCATGATGCCCTCCCTATATCCGTTGTTATTCTTCTTCCCAAGGCCTGAATCCTTCAAAAAAAAATAATAAATAAATATATATATATATATAAAACACACATAGAAAAGAAAGCACCCTTGTAGATAGACGGTGATTTATTCTCTCTACCCCCAGCAGCTGATGGTTCAAATTTGAGCACTTTCCAATTTCTTGTTTGTTTAATGTGCTTCCAAGATTTACAATTTTAATTTATATAATTTATTCTGGTTTTTTAATTTTTAATTTGATTTTTAAAATTTTTTTAGGGGCTTTTTAACGAATATATATGTTGCATGTTGTCATTCTAAATTATAGAATGCTTTTATGTGCATGTCCAGCTGGCTCTCCATATAAACTACATAATTTGATGGTGGGATTTAGTAACTTTTACATGATTATTTATGATGTTTGTAAAAGATATATTTTTACAACATAAATTTAATCATTTCTGATAAAGTGGAGTAATATTGAAATAATAATTAAAAAAGTCCAAATTCTTAGGAAAAAATAAAACTCATATAGTGATTATCAAATTCATATTTATTGTTCTTGTAAATTATCAAAAAGAAGTATAATTCTACTTTGTAGACGTTCTCATTTTACTTTATTTTAGATGTGTTCATGTCAAAACAAAAGCTCATTGTTATTAAATTTCATAATCATGCATCTTAAAATTATAAGCCCTTACTGAATTTAAAATAAGATTTTGAAAATTCTTTAATAATAGTGAAAGGTAAATTTTGGGTGAAAAACTTATTGATTCAATCAGAAACTAACTACTAAAACAAGGGAAGCTTCTAGAACTTGCCCTTTAATTGCAACAATTTCAGAGGGCCATATTTTGACATGCATAATTGGTATCATAAAGTTTGAAATAATTAATTTTTTCAATAATTAATTTTTTCTATATTAAAACAAATATTACAATAATTAATTTTTTCTATATTAAAACAAATACCAAACTAGGAGAATTGCTTCCACCTTGTAATAAACAGTAGGTTCTGGCAAGAACAGAAGATCTAGATTACTTTGAAGAGATGGCTGTCAGGTAATTAAAGACACAATCATCCTTCAGAGATATGTGATGCTCAAGAAACACCAGTTTGCAGTAAAATGTGATCAGTGTAGCATAAAAGTGTGGCACTTTCCAATCAAGCAATCCGACAACATGTGTGATTGCATTGTGGACATACGACAGGACAAGATGCGAGTAGTTTCATGGTTATGTACTAATAAGTTAATACAGTGCAAAGAAGAAATTAAGAGCTACAAGATGAGATTCCGACCTGTGGGCAGGGTTTGAGGCCTCAGTCACAAAAATGATCACACTTTCTTGGTCTTGATAGCCGAGGTGCTAGTGAGAGACTGAGATTAATCGCATTTATTGACTAAACAGTTTCTTTTAGGTCAACTTAGCGTCCAAACGTCCAATTCAACAACATACAGAACCACATTCAACACGGTCAAGAATTGAAGGCCACACAAGTCTACACTGTTAGTTGATAAACTTACATGGGAAGAGCAAGGCACCGCCGTCATCTGAATCGAAGTACCTGATGCATTTGGAAACTTAGACCGAACACCATACATGTTCCTTTACAACCCACTAAAATTGCTTAATCAAAAACAGACTATCGGGGTTGAAATTACAAAACCTTTACTTCACGGTTGGCTTTAGTCAACAAGGTGGCCACGACATGGTGTAGCAACCAGGTTGTTCTGTATAGCTGTCCTACCCATCAAAATAATTTACAGGGTTCACTGAAAGCTAAAAACCAACTAGGAGTACAACGCTTGGAGTGTCACGCTTCACCCAACAACTGCTTTGAAATTTCACTCTTACGAAGATTACAAAAGCGTGACGAAAAAATCGATAACAACGTGCTACACCAACTGCTGCTGTAGCACGTCAGCAAGGTATTTGCTTCGTGAACCAGTACATAATGCTAACAGGGGCTTTGATGAGCGACACGGCGAGAGGCGGAATAGGCACCAGGCAAAGACAGCAAGGGCATATGCATACTATGATAGACCTGCGCAGTTATCAGAACAAGAGACTTGTCATTTTAACATTGATTAGGGGGAAACCAGAAAACAGCATTCATATAGAAATATATCCAAGTGAATCTCAAACCTTGAAGCTACTGGGCTAATAGTTGGAAAAAAAACCAAAAAACCAAAACAAGGATAAATGATATCCATAACCCTTTTATTCTCCATCCTACAGGTCTCTCATCACTGAAGAGTGAAAAAATCATGGCTAGGACGCGCCTCTAGAAAACCCTTAAAGCAGCATTGCACATTCAAAGTCGAGGCTCGTCAAGCTCCTAGAATCCGCAATCAAGACAGCATTCAGGTGCACCTTAAGCGATTAGACCTAGACTACCAGTACACGATTACCAACTACTCAAGAGAAAGTGACGCTGAAACTAGGTGCAAACGTCACCGAAAAACAGGGACTTGAATAGACTTACGCAAGAATCCATAGCACCATGCCGATAATGGAGAGAATCAGGCCAACCAACATGAACGGAAGACCAATGAGGAACCCCAGGGGTCGACAAGCCATCTTGAATCAAACCCTGAACCGAGTAAAGATATACGTCCTTGCTCCCAAACCTCCACCACTACCCACAAGCCTTTCTTCAACCAAACAGAAATGCCCTCACTCACAGCTATAACAGTTAACTCAACTGATACTCTTCACATATGGAATTCTTCAGAGGCTACAGATTTAATATACACGCTCTCACAATACCACAGCCGACACGCGTACCAAGCTCCTCACGATCTTCGTCGTTTTTTCTACCTGCGACTTGGAAAAGGTCGCTCCGACTGGCGGTAACCTGGTGTCAGCCAGTGAGCTGCTACAATTCCTTCAGACTTAGAATACCATATTACAAAATCAAGTGGATGTGCAAGGTCACCACTCTGGAATTGTCGGTTAAGATGCTACTGATGCTGCAATTTTTATGGGGAATACGACGTAGAAATGCGGTCGGAGCGGGGATACAGCGCTTTTGCGCGGATGCCGCCGCAATGACTTAACGACCCCCTTGGCGCACACAGCAAATAGATTCCTCCTCCGTCAGGACTCACCCTCCTCCTCGATGCAGGCACGCAACGAATCGCACAACACCTCCACTGGTGACGCGACCGCGCGTCCACGGTGCAGGTGGGCGCGGTAGGCAGCGTCAGCGTCCCCGACGTGACGTGTCGTGAGCGGTGGGATTTGTTATTTATGTCCTCCGAAAACTTTGGACAAAGTGTTGTTATCTTTCCTTCTCCACATGTAACACTTTGTTAGATTGAATTATAATTAAGATTTCCCACTAAATCAATTGGTGGCAGCTTAGATTAAATGAGTACTTAGGAAATACAATCAAAACATGTTTAGATATCGGAAAATGTTAAAATGACCTAAGGTTTTACTAAATCAATCCTCCTATCCTAATCATCATAAAAAAAAAATGACTTCTAGATTCATTTATCTACTATTGAATCCACAACTATGAAAATCAACCACATTCATCATTATCCTAATCTTTATGAGTGTTACAATGATGGCAGCTATACAATCTCTTGCTTTTTGCAAAAAAACTCTAATGTATTGTTTAAAAGAGAACTAGAGAGAAATATGCATTCAATCTTCTAACCACACCTCTCATCTCCCTCTTGTGTCATGCTCTGCCTCATGTGTCATGCTTCTCCTTTTTTTAGTATGGTGGTTCAATGCCATCAAGATTCATTTTTATAGTGCATATATTTATTTGTGAAGCTTGTATTGGCTAGGAATGTAATAGGGTATAGATAAAATATTTGTATTGTTGACATATAGAGATAGATAGTTGGAACCATATTTGAGAAGTTATAGAAATTTCTAGAATTGAGGCTAAGTTAGTGAATTATGTAGGATCGACCATGGAACATTATAGAAAGAACTTAAGGTGGTTATGTAGGTGGAATCTACCATGAAACATTCTAGAAAGAATTTAGGATGGTTATCTAAGTAGGATCCACCATGGAATCTTCTAAAAAGAGTTTAGGACAATTATCTAAGTGGAATCCATCATTACAAACATTCTAGAAAGTTCTAAGATGATTGGACAAAGTATAAATAAGTTTGGACAAGGCCTTTTGGAAATCTAGTTAGATATAGCTTTGAACTTTTTTTTTTAGTAAAGTTTGGTTTTGCATCTTCTTATTTAGTTCTTTTCTATTTTATTTCTGTTTATTCAGTTTTGTCTTCTGTGTCCTATTCTACTTTGTTTTGTTTAGTTTTGTTCTAGTCCATTTTCTCCTACTTTGTACTGAGATTTTATATTGCTCTAGATTAAAAGGATCTTAGATTCTTAAGATAGATTAATCTTGTTTCATTGGTATCAAAGCAAGTGTTGTATTATTTGTTAGTAGTATATTAATAGCCATCATTTAGTTTGAGGTTAGTTATTATGATCACATTGGGTATTGTCTTGAGGTTATTATGAGTTATTCTTAAAAAAATCAATCAAAAAATGAAAAGGCATTATAATAGTGAAGTCCAGCGAGGAAATTATACCATGGAAGATATGGCAGAGCAATCCTAGATGGAAGTTCAAATTCATCTTCTTTTAGGCCAAATAGCTACTTTGCAAGGATAAATAGAAGCCTCTAGGATAAAAGAGTTGACATCTGCTAGGTTAAAATTGAGTAAGTCTGTACATACTTTGGGACTTTAAAGCAAGAAGATGTATGTCAATGGCTCTTCAACATGCGACAATACTTCCAACTATCTGGGGGCAAATATTACTGAAAGAATTATGTATGCAGCAAGATATTTAAAAGATGCAACAACCATTTGGTGGCAATATTGAATTCAAAGCTATGGAGGTCAAGGTGGATTTTGAGATGAAGAGGAGTTTGAAACTAAGTGTAGGAATCAATTTTGGCCCATCAATGCGTAGAAGATAGCATGTGATCAATTGATAAATCTCATATAATCTAGATTGGTGTAAGATTATGTCTGTTAATTCAAGTTGTTATGTCTCCAAATTGGCAATGTTTTAGAAGTAGAGATGATGGATCAATTTCTACGAGGTTTGAAACCTAAGGTCTAGCAAGAGGTTGAACTAAAGAATCCACAAACATTTGAAGAAGCAATTAAGATTGGAGAGAAGGTTGATAATATAGATTTTAGAAATCCTAGAGTACAACCTATAATACAAAGTCATATGTTCTTATCTAATAATATGGCATAATAACCAAAGCCAATGGAGATTGATGCTTTACAAGGATCATTGACACCACAAAGATGACAAATATTGGTACAAAAAGGATTATATTTCTATTGCCAGGAGCTAGGCCATCATATTGGAGGTTGTCCAAAACATCAAAATTTAAGCACCAACAATACAAAGTGAGTTCATAGTTTCAAAAATTACCAAGTCGATAATGAGACATAGTAGAAAAACAATGCTTTTTATTAAAGGCACCAAAGATCAATATAAAGCATAGCTACTATCTTTCAAAGATAAATGGTATAGCCTTGGACAATTATAAGAAGAGTTAATTGGTGCATCTAATGGGATTACTAAAAAGATAGCCATGTGGAATGCTTGTGGATTATCGCTCTATAATAAAATTACATCTCAATTGAAATTACCAACCGATTTAGGATTAAAATTAAGATAATCAAAAGAAGAAGTATACACCTTGTAGGTGATCAAGAAAACATATTGAACGAGACATGTAAAGAAGAAACCTTGAAGTTGATTGACACCTATGTCTTAAGAGAAAGGTTCAAAGTAACAAAGCTAAGATATAATATTATTCTTAGTATGCCATGGCTAGAAATAGAAAATAAGAAAGTTGATTAGGTAGCAAGGACAATCTCATTCAAATATGGTAGACACAAGATGACTCTTTGTCTCTTCATATTAAATGAAGAAGAAAAATAATCTGCAACTAAAGGCTTATTTGTAGGAATGACTTTTATGAAGAAATAAATATAGTATAAGTAACCAATATATATGGTGGTTCTAAATCTTGCATTAGTGGTAGAAAAGACAATTAAAGGAATAGAATGGGCAAAGCAACTCATATGGGAATATTGAAATGTTTTCCCAAGCAACCTATCTAGTAGCATGCTTCCTGATTGAGGTGCCTCTTTTCAAATAAAACTATTGTTTGGAGCCAAATTGGCAAGTTGGCGAATTTATTACCTAATACCAAATAAACTTAAAGAATTATGAAAGACATTGGACAAACTCTTGGAAAATGGCCTCATTCAAAAAATCACTTTACTATGGAGAGCATTTGTACTCTTTGCATCCAAGAAGGATGATGGACTTTGGCTTTGCATCAACTATAAATGCCTCAATAATTAGATTGTTAAAAATGCATATCTACTTCCACATGTGGATGATCTTCTTGATCAAATTCAAGGTGCAACCATCTTTAATAAATTGGATCTTTAGAGACAATATTAGCAGACACCTATTGCAAGAGAAGATAATGAAAAGATGGCATTTTGTACATAGTATGGATATTTTGAATGGCTTGTTTTACTTTTTGGTGTCACTAATACTCTAGCAACTTTTATAGGTCACATGAATAAATTATTTTAAAACCTTTTAGCTAAGTATTTAATTATTCTAATTGATGGTATCCTAGTATATAATAAAATCCTTGAAGAGCATAAACAACATCTATGAGAAGTGTTGCATTGGCTATGTGATAGTGTGAATTTTGAAAGTCAGAGGTTTTTTTTTTGGAGCATGTAGTGTCCTCCAAAGGTATGCATATGGAATATGATAAGGTGAAAGCAAAGGAAGATTTGTCAATTCTTAAAGATGCCTTTGAAGTTTGTTCATTTTTAGACCTTCTTGGATATTATTGCCATTTTATTTGATCATTTGCACATATTTCTCTCTCATTAAGAAGCATATTAGAGAAAGGTGTCTCATTTAAATAAAAACTAGAGCAGCAAAGTGCCTTTGATAGATTGAAGGAGGCATTCATTACTATTTTAATATTGCAATCCTATGATCATGACTTTCTTTATATACTTAAAATTGATGCTTTTGACTTTGCTATTGGAGTGGTCCTTCAACAAAAATTTGGTAGGAACCTTCAATCTATGGCATATAAATCACATAAGCTTAAAAAGATAGAGCGCAATTACTCTGCATGTGATCAAGAGCAATTAGTAATTATACATGCTACAAAAGTGTGGCAATACTATATATTAGAAAAACCACTGGTTGTTTAGATTGACCATTGATTCTTGCTACACAATTTGTATTAAAAAAATATGAAATCACGACATCATTATTAGAAAAAAAAAGTTATAGTTTTTTGATATCCAGCTTGAGTACAAGTAAAGAAAATAATATATTGTGCCAAACAGCTTATCACAAAGACCAAACTTCAAAATCAAATCAAATCGAGAGAAAAGATAAAAGTCACTACCATTAGAAGTGTCATTTTAAACCTAACTAAGGAAGAAAAATAGAAGGAAGTTACATATTGGAATGCTTATTTCAAGATGGTTAGTGATTGGCTGAAAGTAGGTTATATATAATACCAAAATTATAGTCTTATTAATGGCTTATTCTATTTTAAGAATCAAATTTATGTATTTAAGAATGTTATATTCTAAACACTCATATTTCATGAGAGATATGACATTCTAATATTAAGACATATAAGGTAAGAGAAGACTCTAAAATGGATATCAAAGACATGATTTTGGATAAGTTTGGATTGTGATGTTTGAGCTTTTGTGTGCTCTTGCAATTTATGTTAATGTAAGAAGGTATGCAACGCAACATCTTTTGAAGTATTGTAGCCAATTCTACTACCTACAACATGTTGGGAGCAGGTGACTATAGATCTTATTACATATTTATTGTAGACGCTTCACAATCAAATTGCAGTTATTGTCTTTGTGGACCAATTCTCAAAGCAACTTCATTTGGTTGCAATGCGCTTTGATATTGATGTCTGAGTACTTGTACAAGTCTACTTTGACATTATCTTTCATCACCATAGATTACCTTGTGTCATTATTTTAGATC